ATGTATCATTGTCAAGTTATTGGAATAAAAGATCCGGTAGAACTTTTAAATACAATTAAAGACATAAGGAAAGCTGAAAGTAACAATTCTTCAAGTACACTCTGTTTAACCGCTAGAAAAGAGATCTAGTCAAATACTCATAAGAGAAATTACGCCTTCGGGCTTAATCGTTAAAACTCGAGAATAATTGTATGAACTCGGGAATAATCGTATCACGCTATGGCCGTCGCACATGCGCGCCTTGGTTAGCGGTAGAGAAGCCGGCTCGCGTGGTCTGATGCAACAGCTGTGCTTGGACTTCTGTACTAGTACGACTACTCTGTGCTAATCAATTCTGACAATTCTTACTTGCATCTCACATTCATTCAAATATTTAAATCATTCATTAAATATAAATAATTATAGTAGATTCAACTATACTTTAAATTCTCAATTCATTTAAATCAGTTTAATAAATCAGTGAATTAACATAAATAAAATCAAGTAAATTTATTTAGTGACGCCACGCGGCCATTACGCGCCACCGTGACAAAAGATTGCATCAGCCACGCGGCTTTAGACAATCCATAATCGACGCGTGATATTAACCATTAATTACATTGAATTAATTATTAACATTCAATTACGATCTTATTTAATTTAACTTATAAATAATTAAATTCAAATTTCAAATCATCTGACTAATTTCTACACGATAAACATCAAACTCAATTGACTAACATTCTGTTATCAATCAAATATTATTAGCTCTCACCTAGAGACAAGTGAACATTAATAGCTCTCACTCTGAGACAGTTCAAATTAATTAGATATTACCAGCTCCCACCTTGGGACTTATCTAATTCAAATTATCAATAATTTTCTATCTAAGGCGGCTGAGCTCACCCCTATTGCGTTATTGCAACGTAATTTATACACACACACACACATACAGCTTACTTGTATAATTTTCATCAAGGAGGTTTTTTCCCAGCCTAGCTGGGTTTTCCTCCTTTGGAGACAAATAAATTCTTCTAAATTGTTCCCCAAAAAACCCAAGTATTATTATTTAATTTCCTAAGCCCAACTTTATCGTATAATTTAAAAACAATTACGGGAATTATTCGCATTGGATAGTTTTCGACAAAACAAATAAAGACAAAGTTTTGTCGAAAATTTTCTGGTATTATGAATTGTCATATTTATGGTCAATTTCAAGATAACAATAATAAGTCAATAATAATTAACCATAAAATAAATTGTAAAATTAAAAAATTTGAAGTTAGTGAAAAATTAAGTAGTTTAGTCATCAGTTGATATGATTTTAAAAATATACTATTTTCATTTTGAAATATCGTAAAAGTTTTAGTTCAAAAGGGTAATAAGTATCTAAGTTATTAAGATAGTTGTCGTGGTTAAGGCATACCGTCAGAAAATTCTAAATTTTTGTATACTTATTAAGGATATGATGATACAATTACTCTTAAAATTTGAAGTCGATTGACCACCTACACGGAAAAAAATAAACTGTTGCTGCAACAGGAGGCAGTCATGTTGCAGCAACAGGAAAAAATACTGTTGCAGCAACAGGATTTTCCTGTGGCTGCAACATGACTGCCTCTTGTTGCAGCAACAGGAAAAAATCCTGTTACAGCAACAAGATTTTCCTGTAGCTGCAACAGGAGGCAGCCATGTTGCAGCAACAGGATAAAGTCCTGTTGTAGCAACAGGGTTACTACTGTTGTTGCGATTTAATAATAAAATATGGTTGGGTCATTCCATGTCAAATTGACTTACAGTTGGAATTGACCCCTTTTGATATGGATAAATTTTGGTCAGAAATTTTCTTTTATCATATAACGAACTTCTGCCAGAGGAAAAAAAATTAAAAAATTTTATTCAAAAGATATGCAAACTCAAAATTTCGCTATTTTTTCAGTTTTTCAATCTTGTTTTTGGAATATCGCGAACGCTATTATAGATACAGGAATAGCCTTTCGTTTGTTTGAAAGGGGATACTTGGGGCTATCAAAAAAAAAATATTTTGAAAAATGCCAAATTTGTCTAATCTTAAATTTTTGAAAATCGTCAAAAATGTCGATTGACATTAAAATTTTAGCTCAATTTTTTTTTTATTTAGTACCTTGTACTGATCTTAATAGACTCTGAAATTTTCAGAACTTTTTTTTT